CCCCATGGGTGCAACAGTGATCTTTAGAATCCAACAACGTGACAGAAGGTGAATGTTTGTCCATAAAACACCAATCCCCTCCAAATGTTTTGTAGTGACACATTCAAAAAACCACTTGATTTGCACAGCACTGCCAGTCAGGGCACAAGGGGAACCCCTCCTATCCAGAAGTGTGAGAGTCACGTCTCACTAATGCCACTGGGTGGCAGCACATGTCTGATTTCATCCCCATATTGTCTGTTCTTTCTGCTCCTGTAACATCAGTCAATCCTTCCTTTCCCTGACTATGTCTACATTGGCATGATCTTGCGCAAGAACTCTTCCAGAAGAGAGCGTCTACACTGGCATGTGCTTTTGCGCAAGAGCATCCTTGTCAGTGTAGATGCTCTCTTGCACAAGAAAGCTCTGATGGCCATTTTAACCATCGGGCTTTCTTGCACAAGAAATTGATGTTGCCTGGCTACACTGGCCTCTTGTGCAAGAACAGTTGTGCAAGAGGGCTTCTCCCTGAGCGAGAGCATCATAGTTCTTGCGCAAAAAGCACTGATTTCATACATTGAATGTCAGCGTACTCGTGCAAGAACTCATGGCCAGTGTAGACAGGCAAGTTTTTGCGCAAGATTGCACCAATGTAGACAGCCCCTGTGAATCAGGCAGAGACTCCCATACACCCAATGCATTCTGGCACATCCATGCAGCTCCCTGTTGTGGCCCCATCCCCAAATCCGGGGGAGGGAGGAGAGAACTCTAGGAGAGGCCCAAATGGATGGTTTGGGCCTTGCAGAGAGAAGAGCCAGATAGGAAATTAAGATCTGAAGCACGATTCAGATGCAACATTTCCCCAGGGTTCAGGGGATAGGTCTATACAGCCGTGTTCTCAGAATAACGGCTTATTCTGAAACAGTCCGTGTCTACACTACACGCGGTTATTTCAACAGTGTCAAAATAATGTCAAGCTGGAGGACTCCTTACTTCAACTCCTGTAGCCCTCATTGTACAAGGCGTAAGAAGTCCGAGGAAGAGTGCTCGCAGACTTCCTGCTGTATAGACAGTGCCAAAATAAGCTATTTCAACTTAGGATCATGGAATCGAATAATAGAATCAGGGCTGGACTGGAAGAGACCTCAGGTGGTCATCAAGTCCAGACCCCTGCCCAAAGCAGGGCCTATCCCAACTAGACAAAGCCCTGGCTGGGTTGATTAAGCCGAGACTCAAAAACCTCAATTGAGTAGCTTAAGTTTCTTAGCTTACCTGGGCTGTAGCCCTGTTGTAGAGATGTGCTGGGGTGTCCCAGTGCAGCAATGCCAAGAGTCAAGCACCTGAACCATGCTGGGCTTGTTTGCTGAGGAATTAACACATGCCTAACTGAAAGAGCTTGTTGAAGGGAGAGAAGATTGGGTTTGAGTCTAATTGTTCTCTGCACATTGTGAGCATCTGCTGGGTTCTGCAGTGCTAATTGCATCAAGGGATTCCTGGATCAGATACAGCCTCGCAAGCAGCTCGCGGTGCTTGCTGTACCTCCTCATAACATGGCAATATGATCTCCCACTGTCAACACAAACATTGGAACAAAGCCTGGGTCCAGCAGAGATGGATGAGCCCAGTCTGGTATGGTGCTGTTTCCTCACCACTCCCCACCTTCCCCAGCCATAGCAAACTCCTTGTACTGAGCGAGGGTTGTAAAGGAGCCTTTCCTAATTTCTCTGAGCAGATGGTCTTGCCGGCTTCAGGAGCTTCCTTAGATCTGAGTTCAGTGAGGAGAACATTGAGTTCTGGATTGCCTGTGAAGAATACAAAAAAATCAAGTCCCCAACCAAGATGGCTGAAAAAGCCAAGAAAATTTATGAAGAGTTCATCCAGACGGAGGCACCTAAAGAGGTAAGTCGAGTCAGAGGGGACATTGATGTGGGGAAGGACGGACGTATACATGAGCCAAGTCCTGATAACATCAAAGCAGGTTGCTCACATTGTACCCACACTGGCATCTTGTGTAGGACTGAAGACAGAGAGTCATGAACACTGGAGCAGAGTCCAGCCACCTGGTTTATAATCCAGAGGCATGGCCAGTATAGCCTGCAGTTCCTCACTGGTGCAGAGAAAAGGATCACTGTGCTCCAAGCCTAGTGGTTGCACCAGCTTCCATTCCCCTGTAGAGCTCATGAACAAGCTCGTGTTAAGGTCATGTGAGGAATGTGCAAATATTTAGTTACATTGAAGGGGTCTGTGATGCCAGCAACAATGTTACTTGGTAGTTTACTTGCCTCCGGCATATCTACATCTTGTCATTCCTGAGACATGTCCAAGACTGGCTGATGTGTCACTGAAATCTAGCACAACGCCTCATCTTCCCTCGCTCCCCATCCTCACACCAGACTCTCTAGCTTGCCTGTCACTCACACCATTAACCAGCATGTCACTTTGACTTGGCCCTCACCCAGATCTACGCATCCATACCTCACAACTATGGCCCCTAGGAAGGCCCAGTCTCACTGGCCAATAAAGCTCAATGTTCTTGTGCAAGCCCCTTCCTTGGTTCTTATGATCTCGTCATGAACCGCAGGACTACAAACTAACACTCACAGCTATTTACAATACTGCTACAAGTCCATTTTTAACCCTCCTCCCCCTGCTCCATCCCTTTGTCCTTTCTCCAAGCACAAGACTTGTTTACACCTTCCCTCGCTCTTAGCTCCATCCATGGGAATCTCATCGTTTCCAGCAGTGCCAGGAAATCCACTGATCTGTCTCGTGCAGAAACCCTATGGCCCCAAGAAACAGAGTGAGAAGGCAGGAGAAGCAGCCTGAAGCTGCAGAAGAGAAGCCAGTTTCTCCTCGGATGTTTTGTGTTTATGTATAGTCTCACACAAACTATTGTAAGATTAAGTTGAGTGTGTATTGGTAATTGAAGGGAAACATTTATAGCAATTACTGCCAAACTGTTAATCCATGGCAAAGAGCCATGGTAACACATTTATGGTTGCTTGGTGATGCATTGTCCTGTGACCGAAAACTCAGTAGCACAAAATGCAAGTTTCTCAAACAGGAAATGCAGTTTAGATTTCTCATGCAAAAATGTCCTCTTTCAGCAATATGCATACTATTCCCCTGCCAATCTCACAATTGCTGAAGTGTACCAGCATTTTTCCTCCTTTTACAACTCACATAATGGGGGTAGAGGTAGGGACTCTCTCCCACAGCATTCCAGCTAACACACCAATAGGTTTTTTCATTGCATCAAGGTTTTTTCTTTAAAACAGGAAAGAAAGTTGTTGGTAGGTATTAGTAGCCATTTAGGCAGCTGTACATATGTCCCATGATTAGCATACTGAGCCAGCTATTTCCCCATGCCAATATAATAAAGTGAGGCAAGTCAGGGTTAAGGGAAATCTAAACACATTAAGGGAAGAACTGCATAGCTCTGAACTATCAGTTTCCATTCCACAGCACTTTACAAAGCAGGTCAATAACATTAAACCCATTTTACAGATGGGAAAAAGGAAAACTGAAAGGGGCAGTAACTTGCCTAGGGTCCAAATGTATCCCAAGTCATAGTCCAGTTCACTATCACCCAGCCAGGGTGTGTCTAGACTTCAGGGTTTTTTCAAAAGAGTGGATTTCCAAAAAAACGCTTCCCCTGCATCTAGACTGCAGCTACATTCTTTCGAAAGTAAATCAAAAGAATGCAGCAGTGTTTTCTATAGCAGAAAACCTCATTTTATGAGGAATAACACCTTTTTTGGAAAGTGCTCCTTTGGAAAAAAGAAAGGCACTGTGGAACGTGAACTGTGCTTTTTGGAAAGTACTGGCTGTAGTCTAGACCCTCTCTTTTGAAAGAGGCTTGTAGTGTAGACATACCTCTCCACCACTGTCCTCTAAGCAGTCTACCATCTTTAACTCTGCCCTGCTGCAACCCCATGCAATGAAGATAGAATGGGTTGAAAGCATTTTTAGTGTCTGCACTTCCATATTAATTATCTGAATGTATGTTTTGTCTGGGAATAATTTACAATTGCATACACAGACTTCAGAGGAGAACCCCAACGCAAATCCTAGAAAAATGCAGTATTGGAAAGGAGAGGATAATAGTCAGCATTGACATTAGATTATTCTTCTGCAGCTGAGCATCTGAGGACAGATTCCCAGGGCACCAAACCAGAGAAGTCAGCACACGCTGGGAGTACAGCTGCTTGGTATTACCAGAGTAGAGCTAAGCAGCCCAAGTGCACTGCTGACTGTGCCCCCTAAAAGTTTAGCATGTCTGCACTATTAAGGACACTGAACAGAGGCCAGGCCAGACCAATCAAACAATACCATTCTTCAAGGTGGATCATAGTTAGCTGATTAAAGGATTTTCCTTTGAATTCCCAGCACTTTCCCAGAGTCAGTGCTGTAAGTCAGGGGAGTGCACATACTAGATGTCATACAGAAAAAAGAGGCTAAATCTCATCTTTAAACAAAGAGCAAAGCTTCACCTGAACTATGGAGTCATGGCCAGTGCTTCCCAGAGCCCAGTAAACCTGCTTTGATCATTTACCTGATTCCTAGTGCGTCTGCTCCTGGATAGCACCACGTGAGCCCCACTCCTTGCTTGGAGAACCAAGTCCTTATCCTGTTCACTTCCTATTGTGTCCCCGTCACAGGTGAACATTGACCATGGCACCAAAGCTGTCACCATAAAGAACTTGGTGGAACCATCAGCAAGCAGCTTCAATGAGGCCCAGAAACGGATCTTTGCCCTGATGGAAAAAGACTCCCTGCCCAGATTTATGCGGTCAGAATTTTATCAGGAGTTAATCAAGTAGCAATGTGGCCAGGCTGTGAATGCAGCCCCTGCTGGCCACTCGCTGCCAGCCATACTATTGCCTATTTCCAAAACCCGCCTTTAGTCTATAGCTGCTTTGCCTTAAAGAAACCACACTGGGAAAGCGCTCAGCTGCATTGCAAACTCCTTCCTTGTTTTGAGCTCTCTTATGTGCCAAATGTCTCCTCTTCTACCGTTTCCCTTCCCAAGATCCCATTGATGAAAAAGCCTAGTGATTTTACCCATTGCTGTTAGAGTGCAGGTTGGCAGCTAGTTGACAGCTAGCTTATCCAAAGCAGCTCCATGGAGATGCAAAGGAGGCTTGCAGGAATCTTTGCACACATCTGTTACGCAGGGCTTGACATGCAGAGCTTACAGGTCCTACGTTTTGTCCACACTATAGAGTTTTGTTGATAAAGTTACGTCAGCATGCTGCAAGGGCTGTAATTAAACCACTGTTGCATGTTGTGGTGGCGCGTCGGGGTCCCCCGCCTCCTGAACCAGTTTACAGGTTGAATGCTTGGGATAAACAAAGCTTTAGGCTATGTCTGCACTGCCATGTCCAGGGAATGTGTCTACTCCTCCACTTTGTTTTGTGGAAGAGCAGATGTGCTCTTTCAGGGAGCCCTGTATACCTCGTGGGACATCGCGTCTGGGTTTCCCAACTCCTGCACCCCTGTAGTGGCATGAACAGACTCCACCAGCCAGTAGAATAGAGGGAGTTTATTGCTTTTCCAGGATACAGCATAGCACACATGTAATCTGGTTACAGGGCCAGGCCTAGGATGCCTCAGCCCCTCTTGAGATAGGGGAGACTGGGCCCCTAAATCCCAGCCCCGTGCTTAGGCTGCTTCCTCCATGATACCAGAAAGAAACCACCCAACTTCCAGCCCTGCCCCCCAGCCAGGGGCTGCACTCCACCTTCTTTCCTTTGTTCCTCTCCCTGGAAGGTAACCTGTCCCATCAGCTACTCTGCTGGGCAGTGGTACAGACAGCAGCCAGTGGGGTCACCCACAGCCCAAGCCCAGCAACCAGCAAGGAGCCAACACTACATCACACATGTCCACTCTCCACACCTTGTGTCAGCAAAGCACACCCACACTGGCAATTCTTGCATCAGCTCAGAGCAGTGCACAGGGGTAGATAGCCCTCTGTGCAACGGGCCACAGTATGCTTTGGGAAGGGTTTGCAGGGCCTCACAAGAGCAGGTTCTGCATCACTTGGTACAGGTTTCTCAGTCACATTGCTCCATGGGCATCCTACTAGCGTGCCAGCCTCTTTGCAATTGAAATGGGGGAGGGGCAGAATGTATGACAAGGAGTGTGGGGTGGAAAATGTGTGACAGGGTGTGTGAGGGTGGAGAGTGTGTGACGAGAGGAGTGTGTGACATGGTGTGGGTGAAGAGTGTGTGACGGGTGGGGGGAGAGTGTGTGATGAGAGAGGAGCGTGTGACATGGTGTGGGTGAACAGTGTGTGACGGGGTAGGGGAAGATTGGGTGACGGGGTGGGGAGAGAGTGGGTGATGGGGTGGGAGGAGAGTGGGTGACATGGTGTGGGTGAAGAGTGTGTGACGGGTGGGGGGAGAGTGGGTGACGGGGTGGGGGGAGAGTGTGTGACGGGGTGGGGGGAGAGTGGGTGGCATGGTGTGGGTGAAGAGTGTGTGACGGGTGGGGGGAGATTGGGTGACAGGGTGGGCTCCCCTGCCATGCCCCTGGCAGCTGTCCTGCCTGCAGGCTCTGAGAACGAGCTCTCCAGAGTGAGGTGTATCAAAGCTTCCTAAAGTTATGAAAAACTTCCTACCTGTCAGGATAGTTAAGCACAGGAATGAATTGCCTGGGGAGGTTGTGGAATCTCCGTCTCTGGAGATATTTAAGAGCAGGTTAGACACACACCCGTCAGGGATGATCTAGCTGGTGCTTGGCCCTGCTGTGAAGGCAGGGGACTGGACTCGATGGCCTCTCGAGGTCCCTTCTAGTTCTAGTGTTCTATGATTCTAAGCTTGGAAAGGGGAGGGGTGCATGCCTGCAGAGTAGCTGAGTTCAAAACAGTGAGCAGAGCAGCACACACACCTGTCTCCTCCCACCACGGCCCCGGGCCCTGTAAGCGCTCGTACTCTGTGCTGCTGCCAGTCATTGAGGAAGGAGAGGTTTCACAGGACACCCCACTTAGTGAAAGCTACTTCAGCTCTCCTGGAGCATTTGCTCTCTGGAGTCCTGACACTGAGTCTGAGACCTTCTAGTAACAGGGTTGTCTCTAATTGCACTTTGTGTCCACACACAACATGGTCACTGCACGGTTAGTAGCCATAGTCATGGCAGCACCCGTGTCTTGCCTCAGGCCATGACAGAGACTGCCATGTGGCTACCTTCATGGAATCTGGGATACCGTTATTTGCAATGTAGATTCTATCTGCAAGCTGTGTTCACATAACTGCTTTGGCCTGCCCTCTCTCCAGCCTGCTTTTCAAGCAGAAGCAAGGCCCACTTGCAGTTTGTTGGACATGTCTGCTGGTCACAGAAGCACTATGGGGCTTTCCCAGTGTGCACTGATACAGTTATGGCCAAACAACATGGAAGGTGCTGACACATGTGCCACAAGGTTGTCTTTTGAAAACAGCTGTGGTGCAGACAGAAGTAGGTGGGATGAGAACCACAAACAGCTCTCAGTGACAGTTCTATGCATGACACACCCAGGTACCGGATGTAACTAGAGCTTCCAGACTGTGGTCTTGAGCTAGTAACACACTTCCCATTGCTAGAGCGTTGGGGGAGGCTTTTCAACACAACACCTCTGCTGCAGCAAACAGTGCTCCTTTTGAGCTGGAGACAGGGAGAAGAATAAAACAAATACCGTTTATCCAAAACATGGGATTGCAGTCTAGCACTCTCCACCTACATTAGATTTCGCGAGCTTGTCATTTCCAGAGCCATATACAACCCCACAACGCCTGTGCACAGCCGTATTCAATGGTCCTGCAGTGTTTAGAGGTATGTTTGACTCGCCAGTGCGGGTGTTCTGGCTGGAGACAGGGAGAAGAATAAAACAAATACCGTTTATCCAAAACATGGGATTGCAGTCTAGCACTCTCCACCTACATTAGATTTCGCGAGCTTGTCATTTCCAGAGCCATATACAACCCCACAACGCCTGTGCACAGCCGTATTCAATGGTCCTGCAGTGTTTAGAGGTATGTTTGACTCGCCAGTGCGGGTGTTCTGCTGAGGTTATTTCCCTATTCATCTTTCGAGAGCAGCATGCCATAGGGAGCGTTCTGCACCAACCC